TATGTATCTATCTGTTGAACAGCTGGGTGATATAGCCAACATCTTCTATGAAATTGTCCTTTTATATCTCGAATAGAATATATATTGACATAGCAAGTTTTGTTGTAGTTTAAGAAATAAATAGTCTATTTCAGGAACTTTAGTGCCAAATAAACAGTTTTAGGTGACCTAGCCTAAAAGGGATTTGATGATATATATTGTCATCATTCACAGCCCTACTCTTGTGCATTTGAGCATTTACTTCCTGGCAATTACCATGCTAAGATAAGAGAATAGTTGGATCTCATATCTTGAAATGATACTATATGATTTAGCTGTTGCAGCGAGAGAATCTTTTTGTTGAATAGGCTTTAAATAAACAATATCTCTTTATTATGTAAATGCTTGAACAAGTGACACATGTGAACGTCATCAGCCACAAGCTTTTTTAGTTTAACTGAATAATTTACTGCAGCTCATTCTGCTTGCCAGGTTTATTAACCACAGTCATACTGATGTCCATAATTGATTTGGACAGTTATATCTATTTATAGATCTGCAACACATGATTTGGTGTCATGGTTCATCATTTTTAACTTCTTCAAACTAAGCATTCCTAAAGGTGTTTCTGCACAGCAGTCACATACATAATTGAACAGCCGCTAGCAGAATAAAATGACCTTGAAAGATCATCCATAAAACAAATGTACAAAAACCTGCCTCAAAAGAAAATTACAAAAGTTAGTTAGAACACTGGCATTAAATTACAGCTTCAACTGGTCATAGATTAATGCCATGTGTTTAACCTACATTGTAAAAAAGAAAAAGAGCTGACAGGATTTTTTAAATGTTAATTATAACCACGTTCTTTTTATGAATGACCTTTTTTTTTTTTACTGCAGCTGGGAATTCATACGATGAGACTTCATGTTATATCCAGGCCCAGTTTGAAGACCTTAACAAACGAAAGGGCACCAAGGAGATCTACACTCACTTCACCTGTGCCACAGACACCAAGAATGTTCAGTTTGTGTTTGACGCCATCACCGACGTCATCATCAAGATCAACCTGAGGGAGATCGGGCTTTACTAAAGCTTCAGGCGCTGCAGGTCAGCACACTGACCTTCACCTGCACTACAGCTCCTGCACAGCGCTGCAGAGATGTGGCAATAACAGTTTACCATGTTAGGTTGTTGCATCACTGCAAAGACAGTTTCTGTGATTTCACTCATGTGTCTGGTCCAGAGACAATGACAATTAGATGAATACAATTCAAATTAGCCAATATAATCCTATAATCTTGTTACTTTGTTCACCTGAGTTTTTATAGAATGTCGCTAAAATGTGTCAATTTTATGTTAGGATACATACAAAAAACATTGACACTGGCACTTGGAAATCCAAGGCGTTGTGTCATAAAGTGAGTTCAATTTACCCAAAACCTGTATAATTAATTTGAACTGAACAAACTATGGGTCAAACAAAAAACCATCAAATCAAATAATCAACTCCATCCACTGATGAAGGCTGTGTGATATTGTTCAATGATCTGGAAATAGCATGGACCCTGCGATAGGATTATAGACTGCTAGATAATTAAAATATTCACAAATCCACAAAAACATTGAACAAAATCGATTTCTACACTTATCTGAATTATGAGAAATACAGAACAATATATCTACTCTCTGAACTTTTAAATCGCTAAAAAACAAGTGTTCCCTTCCACACACCCCTGTGTTATGATGGCGTTTGGTATCACCCATGAGAAGCTACATGTTGCATGTTTATCAGTGTGAAGATGTCCCCAGTAGAAAGCAGTAGGCCTAATGGTAATGTAAAGAAACAAAATGCACTTAGACAGAAGTTAGGAGTCTTTGCTCCCCATTACTAAATTCAGCTAACTCGTTTTACTAAAGAAATAGAGAAAAAGTACACATTTAAGATAAACGTTTTTGCTTGTAACGTTATGCTAACAAGCTACATTTTAAATACCTGGCATGCTAAGTGTTACCGTCAATACATTAGCATCTGTTACCATGCGAACTGTGGATTTAGGTTTGAAGTTAAAATTACAGCTCAGAATGATACAAATATTTTCACGTTTGAGAAGTAAGTATTTCACTCATTCACGCATTTATTAGGCAAACCTGTATCAAATACAACAGCTCTCAGACATACATTTTACCTTCGCAACGATGATGATTTACTTTCTAAGAGGTGTAGTCATTTATTTAACTTTTTGTTTAATCTGTTATAGTTTGAATGTGGTTTTTAACAGGACTGCCTTTTTGGATATTTTAAGATTTAGCACTCCACCATGTATCCTTAAAGCTAGATATCCTTATCAAAACGATATAAGAAACAGTACAACACCATCACTAATTGAGTAACATTGTTTTAAAAGTTAATTAAAAAAAGGATTATAATAAACTTTGAACAGGTAGAATATATGACAATATGATAATCTGTGTAGGAGTTTTTCAACAAACCATTATTTTAATGGTTTGTTAAGACCCAAAGCTGGCTTGTAATAAAAAATAGAGCAGCTTATGCATGAAATTGTAAATGACATGTTCTGAAGCATTGTATTTATATTTATTATTTATTTCATATTTTATGTTTTTTCCTTTTCCTTGCAGGTGTCAGGAGCAGAATTGGGACTTCTGGGCTGGTATGTCTTGTCTGCAGAAGGAGAATTAGAAAGTAGGTGTTTCTAAGGACTAAGCTGGTGCCATGCTGCATGCAGGACCTAAATTCCGCAATTTGGGGACTTGATACCACCATTACTCAATAGATGTTATGATGCAGAGGCACTGGGAGGAAGTGAAAGTGGTGGAGGCTTGTGAAATTATCGCTGTGAGATTTGTGAAGTCCTGTCATATACAAGACCTTTGCATCAGTCTGGGGCTGACAGGTAAAGCTCCTCTGATGTCTCTGACGCATTTATAGTTTGACTATATGTACATGGACCAAAACAGACTGCCTGTTTATCAGATCCATTTCACAGTTTCACAGCTGATGTACATTCTGTTCACTTTTTTTCTGTTGCAAATCTTAATTCTGTAATACATTACTTTTATTGAATATTTGCATATAGTATATTTTAATTTTTGGGTTGCAATTATGTAGTATTTCAACTTTTGGATGTGTGAATGCGTTAAATTATGCATTGAGAAGCGTTTTGTTCGGGCAGTTTTCATGTATATAACGTAACCTTTTGGGTCTGGGATTAGTTAGCAAGAGTGTAATGAACAAAGTAGCAACACGGCTGTCTACATAGTTAATAGTTAATCATTTTTCACTTGACAACATTGTATTGAACAAAATATTTTTGTACACATCACTGCAAATCAATTTGTAAAGGGAGATCTTGATTTCCCTGTGTTCTTTTCAAAGGGGGTATAATATGACCTACTTTTATCACTAAGGTCAATATGGAATTTTTTTGTTTAGTTAGTGATGATATATTCAAGGATTATTCATTGTCAAAATGCAGCACATGGTTCCACAATGAAATGCAGTTGTAGCTTAGTTCATTATGTTGCATATGAAACACATGACAGAACAGAACAAAAACAGCTGCAAGTGAATTCCTGAAAATTCAGTTTTTTTGTTGTGCGGAGGATAATAAACAAACAAACCAATCGTAGATATTATCTGTGCGAATAATATCTCCAGCATCTTTAAAATGACAACATGGGTAAAACATGGTCCATGATCTTTGGCCTTTGAGCACCAAGCATCTTTGATGTAAACTCACAGCCGCCTCGTCTCAGCGGAGTGCATCGCTCTGTCCTGTCACCGGGTTAGCTTAGCATTGCTCCCGGCTCTCTTTCCTCTCCTTCTGTATTGGAGGCCAAGCATCTCAAAAGCCTGACCATTGTAGACACCAACTATCCCGCCGCCCTGCACCGTCCAGTCGAATGCAGATTCAACAGAACTTCACTCGCATAGTTCACAGCTAAAAGGCTAACAAAATGGTGAATGCATGATAGTGTGTTATGGCCTTCTTCATTACAAAAATGTGATGCTATTGTGGGGGATTTAGTCAATTTAATCTCTTAACAGAACAGGGCAACTGGATATGTGTTGTCTTACTCGTCCCTGGTCGGTGGTGTTCGGTCCGGCAGGCCTACTGACTGGCTGGGTGGTCGGAAGGAGCCGTGGGTGGAGATCGTCTCAAAGTCTGTGTACTTAATCCAATCACCACGTTTCCTTCCCCAATGTTGATAAGTGCATTTCGGTCATATATATAAACACATTTAACATACAAAGTGAGAAGTTTGAAAAAGCCAGAGCTTGTATTTGTTATTTTTGGCTTGAGCCATCCCATAATACTGAGGAAGTCTGTTTCTGTAGCATAGGACAGTTTGGATTACGAAAGTCACTTCCTGCACAGAGAAGTCCTGGTAGGAAATATTTCTTAAATTTAGCTTTATCTACATTGCTTCAGTTGCATTGGTACATTTTCACACATTAAATAATAGCACTGAGTTGTTTCACTTCCTTCTGTTTTAAAGACAAAATCAACTCCATAATTGTACCACAGGCAACACCCTTTAGTTGTTATCCACTGTGAGATTATTAAAGGCTAGTTCTCCTAAACCATGCAGGGAAGAAGGTCATGCAAACTGGAAAGACTATTTTTAGACGTCAGACACATCTGTATGCTGGAGCAGAGGGCTCCAGCTGTTTCACACACTTCAACTCACCTTTAAGTCCTCATTATCCTAACTTGTTTATTGTATCTTTAAAAAAACAGTCAATCATACTTTATTAATGACGTGATTAATGCAACATGAAAGTAACAGTACATTTCAGCAGATTAATTACCGCTTTCCTTTATTCGGCTCTGTCAATAGGTTTATTGTTAATGCACTTCTAGATGTGCCATTTTCGATCGGACTCGAACAGTGAACTTGTATAAAAGCAACTGTGTCCCTGTTTTTCTCTACTTCAATATAAATAGTTAAGTGATCAACTGTGTGATTCTGCAGCAAAGAAACAGAGACACACGTGAAGTTAATGCATCTTTATTTCGTGCCTCTACATTTAATAAGAAAGGACAAACTGAGTAGATTTCAATCCCTTTTCATAATAAAGCATCATCTCTCTAGTGTTTCACTTTCAAAATATATGGAATTACCTACTCTTATGTACAAAGTTTCTCTACCGTGTTTGACCTTCTGAAATGTATTTATTTATCACATCGAAATGTAAAGTGAATTGAATACATTTAACACTATTTAGATTAGATACATGTACAATTTGGATGTAATCTGGATATACTGCAAGCACTGGGAATATCTGAGATGTTTTCTCAGCAACTTTTTTACAGTTTAAATATCAAGACCACAGAGACTACTGTACTCAAAACAAAAACAAGGTTGCAATGTTGCTATTCACAATATTAATATTTCCCCCGATTTTAGTGTTTTATTTATTTTTACAGAGCTCGGTTTTAATAGTAAATATAACTCACAACACGGTAGTCAAAGGAAAGCAACGACCAAATGAGCAACTATTTCATCTTCATCCCTTCAAACCAGCAGCTTCTGGTGCGTGACAAATACTGTACTTAAGAAGATCTTGTAGAAAGCGGTTTGTCAACAACAACAATATGGTGACTCGATAGTTGGGCGTGCATTGTGTTTCAGGGATGTACTGCTGGAGGTGGTGATATGCGAGGATCAGTCAAGAAGCGGGACTTGGCCTGGGAGTGATGACCTGAAGACGACCAACTGAGGACCCTCTGCTCTCCAGCAGTACACAACTCAGTTAATGCCAATAAGTGACGGGATAAAGTAGGAAAGGAAGTTCTGCAAAACAGAGAGAAAACAAGTAAAGCAATTTTTTATCACTTAAAATCAAGTGTAAAATCTCTTGCATCTTTTTTCTAAACATGTTCCCCTAGGATCCTTGAAAACTCTTAAAGGCAGTGAATTCAAAATATCTTGGTTTTAAAAGAAAAGAAAAAAAAACGTAAACATGGCAACAAGGTATTAATGAGCTGTTTTCTCTTACGTTGCTCTATATAATATCTCAAAAACAATTAGTAACATCTATTTATTTAACTAATAATCCACAAATGCCTCTACCAATAAGGTCCGGTTGTTTTGAATGCAAATTTGAACGTAAAAGTGGTGTTCACCTGCCTTAAGCTTTAGAAACCCTGTTTAAAGGTTTACATTTTGTAATATCCATAGCAACATAATCTTTGGGTTTAAAGCTTCACTGTGTTTCTATATCGAAAAGTGAACTGTGTCTCATCACAAAATAATTTTCCTTTTGTTTGCTCATGTAATGGTCAGAAGTAGTTGCTTGGCAACACAGGACTGCCAGATATGATTTGCTATACGAGGGTCAAATTGAATTGTCAGGGGTCTGCCTCTTATGGACCCTATTACTCAACAAAGACCCCCGCAGTGTTGTAATGTGGTGGCCACGCACCTCTTTTCACTCTGGAGCTGCTTAGAAGAGACCGCACTGTTTAAGGTTTTCTTTGATGATGATGTCTGTCACAGCGTTGAACACAATCTGCACGTTCTTTGTGTCTGTGGCACAGGTCAAGTGGGAGTAGATTTCCTTCACTCCCTTCTTCATGTTCAGTTCCATGAACTGCAACTTGATGTAGTTGGCGGCGTCGTCGTATGAGTTGCAACCTAAAACAAAAAGCAGGGTGTGAAAATGGTAGAGGATTTATGAGTTTATTGTATATAAAAATCAATGCATCATTCTGCATCACTGTGTTGGTCAGCTCAAATTATGTAAGTTTAATATAATTACTTGCATCACATAATTTTATTAAAGCTCTCTGCAGTTTCTCAAGACTCCTCATTTGATCATTTCAGTCTTCCTTTTATTTGAGCAGTTTGAGTCACAAGTCAAATTAATAGCAAGTTGTGTTTCTATGCATTTTAGGTCCATTTACACATTTTCTTTTCAGACATGTTCCTGTTACAGTCTCATGTAAATCCAAGCTTAAGCATGACTTGTTAGCCGAGTGTGATCCCCTCTCACTGCATGTCTGACAGATAATAGCTTATTTTAGCATCTCGCTGTCAAACGTAGTCCTCTCATAGCAGCACAGAGTGTGGCAGCTTCAAAACTTCTTACCATCATAGTCTGGGAAGCAGATGCTCAGGTGGACTTTCTTGATCTTATCCTCAAAGAGATCCTTCTTGTTGAGGAAAAGCACGATGGAGGTCAGTGCAAAGAATCTGTGGTTGCAGATACTGTTGAATAGATGGAGGGACTCGTGCATGCGGTTCTGAAAAAGGTCAGAGAAGAACAGGATGAGTTTACCAGCTGACGTGTGTCGCCTCGTGCTTTACGATAGGGTGGCGGAGTTTTGACTCACCACTTCGTCGTCCTCTACCAGCACCATGTCGTATGCACTGAGAGCTCCGCAGAAGATGATGCAGGTCACACCCTCGAAACAATGGATCCACTTCTTCCTCTCTGACCTCTGGCCACCCACATCGAACATCCTGTTCACCACACAGAAACACAATGTCAGCCCTGGATGTCATGCTGCTTTGAGGCAATGGTTCCCTAACCCTATTGCCCTGTCAAATGAACTCCCTTCATCAAACCACAATGTGTGTTTCAAATGTAGGGCAGAATTTATGTAAAAGTGAATATATTAAATGTGTTCATACAATTGAACTCTATATATTTTGGTTGGTTAGAATCATACTACTGCTTTGAGTAAAACCGACCATTTTCTTCATTACTTTTAGCTAATCATATGAACTGTTTAGTCATTACTATTAAACTTCGCCAACTAGTTTTTGGACACACTTGCATGCCTGCCCCATGTGTTCAGGTGTTAAAGTTGACTTGTTCTTAATATGTACATTTATTCTTTAGCTAATACAATGTACCCCTGGGTTTGAAGTACCCCTGGTTGAGAACCACTGCTGTAATGTTCAGTCAGTTCTTGGTGGTGTCATGCTTTGTATAAGGCCTGATTGTGACTCACCTGAAGTGCAGCTCTTTGCAGGCGAACTGTTCTTCAATGATACCAGTGGTTTTGACTCGAGATCGCAGAACGTCCTGCTCAGAGGGGAGGTAGTCTGTTTTGGCGATTCTCTCCATTTCATTGAGGTAGCTGAGAACAAACGAAATAGCAATCAGACTTCAGATTTAAAAACATCTCTATCTATAAACACTAAGCCAGCTGCCTCTCTAGTTTTACATGAAACCTCTCTACTGTATCTATCCCAGTAGCAAACGTGGACTCACTAGCCAGCGGAGTCGTTCAGCTGGAACTCAGCAGCGCGATCGTAGGCGGCCTGCACACCAGTGTCTTTCCACAGTTTCTGGATGACATCACTCAGCTCAGGAGGCATTGTGCCCTCTTCAATGGAGTCGGACAAGTTCTGCAGCTTCTGTGCATTCTCCTGTTGGTTTAAATGCACACAGTACCACGATCCATCAGCAACAGTACTACAGAACTATTTATTGTACGTCAGAAAAATGGACTCTACAAGTTAATCATGTCTGGTCTACATCGTTTTAGTGTCATATGAGACCTGTGCAGCGGCAGAGCCAAAATCAATGGTCAGCATCTCCATGCCTCTGATGATAGCCAGAGCAGACTGCAGGATGTTTCCATAGACGACTCCCCTGAACTCCAGTTGTTCCTCTTTTGAGTAACCACCTTGATGCAGAATCCTGTACACAGAAAAGTGATTTAGTTTATGGGTGGTCATTTCTATTTCCCAGATATATAGACATGTTTATATAAAGGCTGTTTGGGGAAACCTCCATTGAAATGGAACAACTAGGATCTTGAAAGTATATGTTTTAGTTTTTTCCACACATGTAAAAAGGGAAGTTAACACGACATAGAAACAACCCACTGGAGCTGGTGCTCACAGCGCCCCCCTGTGGTGTGTTTCTGACCTCACTCAGCTCTTACTGCCACAGTGTAGCGCACAAAACAAGTGCTGACAAATCAGAGCAAGCGGATGTTTGCCCTGTCGACCTTTTGTTAAAAGGCTTGACTGCATGCCTGACTGATGAGATTTAAAAAAAGACTCCCGTAGCTTGTCTCTGACATGGTGTGGATGACACAAAACCAAATCAGGTATCCCTTATTTTAATACTTACTTCATCTGTTTCACAATGGTGCTTTTTCCTGACTCACCAGCACCTGGAAGATAAGAACAGTGTAAGCAAAAAAACACAAAAAATGTTCTCTTCACATGCCACTGAGTAGAAACACACTGCACGCAATAAACAGAAGAAGAATTAGCCTCGATGATGCAGTACATTTTAAGGGGCAGTCTGGGCAAAAATAACAAAATGCTGTGACCCAAATCTGTTTGGCTTGTTTCACAATGATTCTCTGAACATTAAGACTACTCAATGAAACTGGCTTTGTACTAGTGCTAGAGTTACCTTTAAGTTACATATGTTTATGGAAATCATGCCAGTGCTATTCAAGAGAATCCATTGTCAACAGTTTCACTAATCGCTGTCTTTGTGTTAATGTACTCTTGTCTATCTTTATGTAAATAGATATGTGTGAGCGTTATTGTCAAAAGTACAGCTTTACAAAAAGAGCTTGTTTTCTCTTGTTTTTTCAGAAAAAAATGATCTTGACAACATCAGACAGTGTTATCTGTCACACCTTTTAATATTTGCTATTTGTGTCTGTCAAAGAATGGTAAGCCTGAAGTTGTGATGGTTTAAAAGAGACACTGAAGTGGCGGCTAACGAAAAGCATAATCTCCTCACAGCACAGCAACAAAGCTCTTGGCTTTCTGGTCTCGCTGAGCTGCATAATGTAGTCTAATTATGTCCTATGGAAGTAATTGATGTCAGATTATCAGGAGGTTTTTGTACATTGAGGCCATCATGCAGCGATAAATGCCACTGAGTGTGTAAGCAGACACCTCTAAACTTTAAGAAATGCAACTCTATATGGAGGCAATCCAGACAGGAGGAGAATTATGTTTGCTTTTCTGGGAACAGCTTCTCTGGATCAAATTAATATTGTGGATACTTTGTATCATGGATCAATGCACTAGTGGACTGTGCAGTAATGTGCAATTTAAGCCACAGTTGCATTGTTTTGGTAAAAAAAACATGCAGGTAGATCAAGCTCTCTGCAGCATTGTAAGCTCAGCCAAGAGGAGTTTATCACAGAGCAAAGCCGGCTGTCCTGCTCTCACTGGAGCCACGTTAAGCTCCATCCTTAGATGTACTGCCTGAGCATTTAAAGACACCCGTGTGACCTCGCCCGCTCAGGGAGGAACTTGTAGGTTTCCCCTTGCTTGTGATGAGCTGGTAAAGATGGCACTGATACGTTATCAAGACTGATTTGCATGAGCTGTGATGATTTAATGAAGAGTGTCTTTATCTTTATGTGTGAGTCATTCTTTCACCTCGTGCTCATTAACGAATGTTCCCTTAGGCTTTACTTTGACACTAAATCTGACTTTAAAAGGGAGCTCTTTGTCCATGTTTATTCTGCAGAAATACTATAGATGTTTTTACTTTAATCAACAAAAAGACATTTGGTTTTCAGCAATCTACAAACTGTAGGGAACATATTTGATAATGCAGTCAGGGAACAATAAAGGACTGCATGTGTCTTCTTTGGAAACATTTTTTAAACTTAGGTTTTGTTTAAATTAAGACAACTCTTTCTCACTCCTCTCACAGCCCACAAGATGGCACTCTTCTTATCCTACCTCCTCACTTCTTACCGTCTGACCTGTGATGCTGACTCCTCTGTGGATCTAGTGCAGGTAGTTTTAACAGTGTTTACAACCCAGTACACTTTCAAAAAATAATGCAATGTTGTGAGACATGAACTCTGCATTAAATACTTGATTTTTAATGTACATTGGCAGCAGCACAGAGGTCCATGCTCTTCAAAGATCATGTTATACTATATACTATACTATTCTTTTTCATCTGACTTCATTTTAGAGCAACCTTCTTGCTTCCATTTTTGTATTTGTATTGTTACATCAAATCAGCAATAATCAGTATTTTGATGTAGTCCTATATTCTTCCCATTCCCATGCAAATATTGCTGTTATAATATAACAACAAGGTAATAAGACACATTTAGTTATTTCTGTGCGAGTTGAAGGATCAACAAAGACGTCTCCAGGTGGATCTGCACTAAACCAGTTAGCTAAGCGGATTGACATATTGCTGCTGGGCTGTGATTCATTTAGACTAAAGGCTATGATGTTTTAAACACCATGTCCTTCCATTAGAGGTGAAAAGTCAGTATTTACTGTAAGACACTGCCAAGAAAACCTGCTAGCAATTTGCAGCGACTCTTTCAAATTCATTGGTTTTGTTGAATATTTTAAATTATGATTTCATTGCTTATGCATTTAATACCTTAATTGCCTGAACAAGTTAGATGCCGCCTATCACAGCGCACTGAGATTTGTCACAAATTGTAAAGCACTTACACACCACTGTACCCTGTATGGCAAGGCAGGTTTGCCATCACTTACTGTACGGAGGCTCAGTCATTGGTACACGTTTATTTATAAAGCTTTGTTGGGTAAACTCCCGTATTATATCTGCTCTCTGATAACACAGAGAGTTGCAAGCAGCTATTGTCTGAGATCGCATGATGTAGTGTTGTTAGATGTGCCAAGAGCAAGGACTGTCTTAGGTAAGACAGCTTTTATGTGCGCAGCTCCACTTGCTTGGAACAATCTTCAGCAAGAATTGAAACTGAGCAATCTCATTCCTCTGCATGTTTTTAAAGCTAGGCTAAATGAAATGCTCGTTGATACTATGGGTACTTGTAAATGTCTATAACTATGTAAATGTATCCTGTAAATATAATATATGATGTCCTTTATTGTTTTATGTTTCATGTGGAACCTATATGCTGCAGGTCTCCCTTGAAAAAGAGATCTATGATCTCAATGGGACCAATCTGGTTAAATAAAGGTTTGAAATGAAATGAAATGAATAGATTTTAGGTTCAGCAAAAAAACACAATTTAAGACAGCCGAACTAACTTCAACCTCTGCAGTGATTATATTATAGGAATACACATATAATAAAAGTGTATTACTAGTGCTTGATGTTCAATATTCTTTCAAATCTGCTTTCAAATCTGATTTTCTTATTCTGCAAATAATTTTTTCTTCATCTCACATCCCTTTGTTAACTTCTCAACCTGCAAACGTATCTCTCTTATCCCTCTTTGCTGTTGCCGCTAATGCCCTCTTAGTTTTGCACAAGCTTAAACAGTCTTCCCCCTTTCTAATAAACTAATGTAAGGTTTGATCCAGAAACAAGCCTGTAAATCCTCTGAGCATATCTTACATCTAACTAAGCAGTGTGTAACAGCTGTGTCAGATGGCTCGCGTCCAATTTTGAAGAATACGCAGAAAATTAGCCATTGAACTCAGATTGAAGCATTCAATGTTACGTATGAATACAATATTATGGATTAAATGATCTGCTCATGAATTAACTCTCATCCTGAAACTTGAAAACCAACTCTCAGGGGTTAATGAAAGCTGACCAAAACATGTTCTCAGTCATGTATTTTCATTGAATTGATCACCTGTTTTGATTAATTGCTGACTTCAGGAGCCCTGTTCTACTCTGAAGACTTCAACTTCCACAGAAACCTTTGTTAAAGTTGAAAAATAAAAATTGAAGTTTGTTGATTCCTGAATCTTTTAAAGTGAAAATGCGTCATTTCTGTCGCTTGGCATCGCCTGCTGTTTGGGACAACAAAGACAACTTGATACATCAAGACCATTCATAATTCCACTTACCAAGCAGTAATAGCTTGACCGTTTTAGCGTCCTTGTCAGCATCTTGTTGGAGTTGCTTTTCCAAATCCTTGGACTTTTGGTCCTCGGCGCTTGCTCCTGCACCCATGCTTTCTTCCTCCAGAAACTCAAGATCCTCAAGGATAGAAATTTTGACGGTTACTCTGGAGCTGTCGAGCAGAGAATCAGGTTGCAACACTAATCGTGCTGAAAGACGATTTTGGAGCGGAAGGATCTTGGGAGGGAGGTGCTTGAGTCCTTCCTGACTTCGTTGGCCTCTTTCTGTGAGTAGATCAGTACCTAGTCAAGGTTCAAGTAAATTCAGAAGCTCTTGCCAACCGAAATCCACCCTTTAATTCCTTTGGCTTAAACCTCTTACTTAGGAGTTGCCTCTTCCTGATTGGTTAGCCAATCCAATTAGTGTAATAAGGGCAGTAGTGAATGATGTAAAGAAAAGAAGAAAATACTTACATATATTCCTGGGCTCAGTGACAGTCATGGATCTCATTGAATTGTTTGTCTATACACCAAATGCTTGTAGATTATTTGACACTTGATATATAAATACAAAGGAAGTACACTAAATTGTTCTGTTTTTTATAGTACATCAATTGTTTTTCCTGTCATCCTAGATCATAAAGCGTCATCTGCCTGACGATATATGTTCTGTGTATATATATTTTGTATGGTTAAGACATTGTCTATTTGGTTTGCAGTCAGCGTGCATACTTTGCTCTCTTGATCTATACTGTACCTCCTGCTGGACTCTTGGCTTCAGTGTCAGTCACATGGACGAAGCAATGAGGCATTAACCTTTCATAAACTTCTTATAGTTAAGACGTTTAAATCCCAGGTGGTGGGGTGATGGCTAAATAAAGCAACTGCCATTGTCACTGAGATGCTTCAGTGAGGTCTCAGCGACATCATGACCTTAATATGTTTCCCGATCCAACATTATTTAAACTATCTCATACATTTTCATGTTTTCTTCGAGGCAGAGCAGATTTCTTTAAGACAGGAGGTTGGGATGTTACGTGCATTAAGCACATTAAGCGTGTGAGCGCTGTGGCATTGATCTGTGGAGGTCATGGGGCTGGTGTTCAGGGCTGTCCCCGCTCTGTGTGTTAGAGGAATTACACTGAGATCTAAGGTTGTTAATTAGGTCAGAAAACAGAAACTATTGTATAGTTTTCCTGACAAAGTGCATCAGAAACAACGGGATAAGAGTGTTGCTTAGTTTGGATTGAAAACGTTGGTGTCTCCAGCTTTTTAGTTAAGCTCTGTACGTTTTATTTTACCATATAAACTTTGGACGTTGAATTTGGAGGTTTGATCATACCATAAACTCATCTTTTGGTTAATGAATGTTTAAAACTTCTGAAATGGAGAAAGTAGAGGTGATTATTATTGATGTACTGACGCTTTTATGTTGTAAATGTATTATCTTTGAAATGGATACACATGACAACTATTGCACTCTGTCCATACTGGGAGAGGGATCCCTCCTCTGTTGCTCTCCTCGATGTTCCATTTTGTCCTTGTGTGATGTGAGGGTCTAAGCACAGAGGGTGTCGTCTTCTGTACAAACTGTGAAGCCCCTGAGACAAATGTGTGATATTGGGCTATATTAATAGCCTTTTTTATTATTATATGTCTTTGTTGAACAAGGACCATGCATAAAAATACACTAATCTCATAAAGAGAAGAGATGCTATGATTATAGCTAAAAGCTCATTTCCATCTGCATATAAATACATTTGGATTGATTGTGTGATATGAAGGATGTATCTTAAAACATGATGTGCAGAACATTAAATGGGTTTATTGGTCACTGAAATGATCTCTTCCTTAATCACTTCCAATGTAAGGGAAAACCTTAGTCAAGTTAACATGTAAAATCAGCTAATTTAAAGTGTGGAAAGCAACACATTT